CCCAAACCCCAACCCTGCCAGGACACAAACCCTCCTAAGCCCTAACCCCCCTAACCCCCCTCAACCCCCCTCGCCCTGACCGGGAGCCCAACATCCCTTAACCCCCAAACCCCGAAACCCCCAAACCCCCAAATCCCTCAAACCCCTAAACCCCTAACCCTCCAACCTGCAGCTCCTCGGCTTTCCCGGCTTCCTCCTTCAGAGGACCGCGCGGCAACTCACATGAAAGGTCCCCTTGCTTTCGATTTCAGGGGCTGTTAGTTCTGGGTTTGGGGAGGGCTTCGGGCAAAAATTCTAGGGTCTGCGCCCATGAAACGCTTCAGGCGCGAGCCGGCGGAGGGGGGGCCCGCGCGCCCCTCTGCGCCTTCCCCGCCACCACGGACAAAGGACCCCGCGCCCCTGCTGCTGATGCTCAGCCCCAAAAAGGCCACCTGTAGGCAGGTGTGCGTGCCGAAGTACTCATGATGCTGTTTTTGTGCCCCTCACGACGTGCCCTCGAGACCGCACGCAAAAACACGCGTTTTTCGAAGGCCCCCCGCCGGGATGCAGGGGTCGTGAGACCAAGTCGGCGGCACTAGTGCCCGGACCATTTACAGCTTGTCAGCTACACAGGGGCTGAGCCCATGATCACACGAGACCGAGTGCTGCCCGTTATTGGGGGGCGCCCCAGCCTCGACGCACCAGAGCTTGCTCAGACTCGCGACGAATGCCAGGTCATCCTCAATGTCCTGGCTTGAATTTCAACGAGGTTGAGGGGGGGCCTGCTTGCTCCCCAGCCGGAAATCCTCCCGAAAGCTGCACCCTGAAGCCAGGAAACCCTCCAGCAAAGCCATCGCCCTGGCCACGGGTCCTCGAGCAGGCGCACCATGCGGTCGGCCTGGAGATGCCGAGAAAACGTTACAGTGAGGGCTTTCGGGGGTTTCGGGTCCACAGGGGATTGCTTCAAAGCCAGGAACACCAAAGACTTGGGGATTCAGTTTGGCTCAGGGATGTAGGGGTTTAACGTTTAAGGGCTTAGCTAAGGTTTAGGAGTTGGGGGGATTCGGGGTTTAGGTCTTAGGCATTAGGATGTGTTTAGTTAGGGGTTCAGGTGAAGGAAGCTTCCGTTTGGCATTTTGAGGGGTAGGAGATTCTCTGGATGCCAAGAAGCTCCCTCTGCAAGTCTCCTCTTAACAAACCCTGAAAGCACCTTTCAAAACTAAACACTAGAGCTTCGAGCTTTCTCAAAGGAGGACGACTGGCACAAGGCCTTCTTGCTGTCGACCGCTGGTGGTCCGCAGAGGTTGTCATCCACGCTGGCCTGAGGTTCCGGTCCAGGCTTTGGGGCTTACGATTGGGGTTTAGGGCTTGGGGCTCAGGGCTTGAGGCGCCTACACCTACCATGTGCCCCTGCACTGACGCTTGGGGTTTTTGGGGGCGATCCGCACCACGACTGAACCCCCAGAAGCCTGGAGGATCAGCATGTCCTTCTCGACCAGCTGCAGAGCAGTGGATGCTCTGGCCTTTATTGGGCATCAGAAGAAGGGGGGGGGTTGATGATTTTGGGGTGGCGGCTTAGGTTGCAGCTTGAAGGTGTGTCAAGACCCAAACACGAAGCTAGCGAAACTCTACAGACATGTGCTGAGCAGCTCTGCAGACCAGAGTGCATAGATCAAGTTGGCTTCTGCTTGGCTCACACACCAAAAGCGAAACCTAAACCCTGAACGTGGCGCGCACCCTTATAACATCTGGCGAACTGGCCGAACAGCATCTGCACTCTTGGATTAGGTTTAGGGTTTAGGGTATCGGGTACCCCCTGGCGAAATCCTAAACCACGCAATTGTAAGCCAAAGCAACCCAGAGAAACCAACCCCTTACAGCCCTAACCCTAGAACGAAAGAAACGAAACTCTGAACCGCAACCCCCAAAAACCCGGGAACCTGAGCCCAAAACCAAAAAGCCTAAACCCTAAACCCTGAAGAAAAAAGAACCTGACCCCAAACCCTAAAACAGGCCAAGAGCCCGCCAGCACCAGAACCCCAAAACAAAACAGACTCCCACACCCAAAACCCCGCAACCCCGCAACCCCTCAACCCCGCAACCCCGCAACCCCGCAACCCCGCAACCCCTCAACCCCTCAACCCCTCAACCCCTCAACCCCTCAACCCCTCAACCCCTCAACCCCTCAACCCCTCAACCCCTCAGCCCCTCAACCCCTCAACCCCTCAACCCCTCAACCCCTCAACCCTAGACCCTAAACCCCAAACCCATGCAAAAGAAGGACCCTAGGCCCTCATGAGAAACTGAGACACCGGCACGGTCTCTGGTGAGCCGGAGCTGGGCCTGACTAAAGGGTTTTGGGAAGGTGTTTGCATTTTGTGGTTTAGGGTTTAGGGTTTAGGGTTTAGGGTTTAGGGCTTAGGGTTTAGGGTTTAGGGTTTAGGGTTGCTGTTGGGATGGTATTCTGTGGCGGGCTGGTTTAGGGTGGGGATAGGGCGTAGGGTTTGGGAGAGGAGTGGCCAAACTGACCAGCCACTCCGAGTTGCAGAGTCGGGTTCTTGTTGAGATTTGGCTAAATCTCAATCATGCATGTCGGGGGTCTTTCAACCCTCGAGCCTCGACCTGGACCCCAAACTCCTAAACTCCTACACCCTGAATCCTAAACCCTAAACCCTAAACCCCAAACTCCTAACCCCCCCACTCCCTGAATCTTAAACCGCAGATTGTAGGGCTGAACAGGCCTCTGCCCGTCGCATCATGCGCTTGTCGAAGAAGTGGATGCCCAAGTCGTAGTTCGGACCAACTGCCTTTTAGGGCTTGGGTTGAGGGTTGAGGGTTTAGGAGTTTAGGGTTTGAGGCTTGGGGTTATAGGGTTTAGGGGGTTGAAGGCTTAGGGTTTAGAGGAAGTCGCAACTGTGCGCTTCTTATCGCTGAAGGCCTTCTTGTTATCTTGATGTGACTTGCTGGACTCTTGCAGAGTCTGGGGTTTAGTGTTGTGGGCTCATGGGTGCTTGGGACCCAAACCCTAAACCCTAAACCCTAAACCCTAAACCCTAAACCCTAAACCCTAAACCTTAAACCCTAAACCCTACCCTACACCCTAAACCCTCAACCCTCCACAGAACATCCTACAACGCCCAAGAAACTGACCCTCCCGCAGTCCTCGGGCGCGCGCTGCACCGCTTCGTGGAGCGATTGCTGCCTCAAGTTTGGGCCTTAAGGGTTTAGGGTTTTGGGTTTTAGGTCTTAGGGTTTAGAGTTTAGGGTTTCGGGTTTAGGTTTAGGGTGCAGGATTCAGAGTATAGGTTCTAGGGTTAAGGCTTTAAGGCTTCAGGGTTTGAGTGTTAAGAGTTAGGAACCTTGAACACCCTAAACCCGAAACCCGAAACCCTAAACCCTAAACCCTAAACCCTAAACCCTAAACCCTAAACCCTAAACCCCATGAAAGGCATGAGGGCCAGGCTCGCTCTTGAATTCCGTGTGCACCTCTCCACAAGGGAGCCGCCGATCAACCAGAACCCTAAACCCCTAAACCCTAAACCCTACACCCGAACTCCAAAAACAGCATTCCGAAACCTAGCTAGGAAGAGGCAGCGAACTTCAGGCGTCTAGGGGTTTAGGGTTTAGGGTTGAAAGGTCCAACGCTTTGGGGTTCAGGGGTCAGGGTCTTGCTCTCCGAAGTACAAGGTTAAGGGTTACGAGTCAAGCGTTCAGGGTTTAGGGTTTAGCGGTTGGAAGGATGTCCATCCCTATAAATCTAAAGGGACCCCTATACATTTGCGAGTCCTGGTATGAAAAAGATATAGTAGGGTGTCCCCATCCCTATAAATCTAAGGGGACCACCATGAAATTTGAGGGAGGGCGTAGCTTGTCAGTGGCAACCTCAACTCTGCCATGGTAAGGACATACTCTGAGAAATTTGAGAGTCCTGGTATGAAAGCTCTAGGGCAAAGATTCTTCGGTTTCGCCAACCCCAGAGTATTGTGAACGGTTACGCCAACCCGAAATATGGACGCTATGGATGCTGCGCCAACCGAGAGACTTTTATAGGATTCGGATCATCAAGTAATCTGACCTGCGTGATAGAGTACACGCAGCATTGAAGATTTCGCGAGTTGCGGGCGTCAAGTTGATGTAGGGCTCAGGACGTGACGATGCCCTACTCCCGAATCCCGAATCCTAAACCCTAGACCCTAAACAAGGTCGAAGGTAAGGCCCCCATCCTGCATCATGAGGAGCAGGTTGTGCTCTGCACAGCCGCAAGGGAGGCCGCGATCGTGAAGCTCCTCAAGGGGCATGGGGGGGGGGTGGGGGGGGGGGGCTGCCCTCTCTCCTTGTGAAACTACACCATGACGGGCTTGGGCTTCGTTTAGGAGTTCGAGGTCTTTTTGGGGCCAGTTTGGGGGGGGTTAGGTTGGGTTTTGCGGTGTTCGTTGAGGGTTTGGGGTGTAGGGTTTTAGGGCTTAGGGTTCGGTTCCCCTAAACCCTAAACCCTAAACCCTAAACCCTAAACCCTAAACCCTAAACCCTAAACCCTAAGCCAGGCCGTACATGAGGGCGGCCTTTCGTGCTCTCTTGGCTTCCTCGATGGCCTGCCTCGCCTCCCGAATTTTCAAGGGGTTTGGGGCTTCGAGTTTTCAGGCTTAGGGTTTAGGGTTTAGGGTTTAGGGTTTAGGGTTTAGGGTTTAGGGTTTAGGGTTTAGGGTTTAGGGTTTAGGGTTTAGGGTTTAGGGTTTTTGGAGGTTTTAGGGTTTTTTAGGGCTCGGCTTTCACCAGCAAAGGTCAGGGTCTGAACAGCAGAGCGTTCAAGCGGTTGAGAGGTTGGCTTCGGCCCCACAAATCCTGAACCCCAAAACCCAAACAGCCCAAACCAAAGCTCTAAACCCCTCACATCCAGACTGTAAACCCCTAAACCCCTGAAACTGTAATCGAGCTGAGAGCATTCGAAGTCAGGTACACGGTCCTTGTGTGGAACCTGCCTTCCCCGAACCGCAAGCCCTAACCCAAAAACCCCAAACCCTTCATAGATCAGGTCGCAAGCTCAGGATCAAGGAAAGAAAGATGTAGGATTCTGGGCGTCGGATTGCCTCACCCATGTCCCAGTAGCGAAGGCTCAGGTTGTAGTGCGCCAGAAACCTCAAACAAATACTTCCAAGGCTTTGGCACGCGATGGCAGCCCGACATGAGCTTTGGTCTTCCACTTGAGGGTTTCGGGTTTAGGGTTTAGGGTTTAGGGTTTAGGGCTTCGGGTTTAGGGTTTCGAGATGATGCATCGCCCTGCCAGCCTTCGCATTGGAAGCTGCCTCGGGCCATCCACCAGCACCTGGCTGAATGTTGAGCTTCAAAAGATGGGGGGACGTAAGGCTTAAGCCCGAAACCTCTTAAGCCCTGAGCCTTGAATCCCCCAAACCCGCGTAAACCCTAAACCCTAAACCCTAAACCCTAACCCTAACTGCCTGCAGCTGCTTCAAGACTTTGCAGGCTGATCGAAGGCGCTCCTTGTGTTCAGAGGAGGGGTCGATTCCAAGGGGTGTCTTTAGGGCTTTAGGGCTTTGGGGTTTAGGGCTTTGGGATTTGGGGTTTAGGGTTTAGGGTTTAGGGCTGAGGGTTTAGGGTTTCAAGGTTCTAGGTTGAGATGTTCCCCCTTATACGAACAGTCCTTGATAAGGATTATAATGGGGGGGGGTACTATAATCCCGATTAAGGACTGTTAGGATAGGGGGGAACTTCCCAAGTTTTAGGGCTGGTACATGTAGGCTTTCGGGGTGATGGGGTTCAGGGTGTTGGGTTTTACTTGGGGGTTTACGCCTTGAGGGCGTGGGGGGTTTAGGAGAAGAGAACGCGACAATGATATTGAAATTAATCATATAAAGACCGAAGGGCAGAGCAAAGTTTACTGTATTCATGCCTTTCATAATGTTCATGAAATGGTGGTATCGTTCTTCCAATAGTAATATGACCGTGCGCTTAAAAGCCGAATTCGCCAGGAATGAAATGACCGCGTGAAATTCAATATGAAATGAACCCGTCATTCAGTAAGTGCATTCGCTCCTTTCTCTCTCTCATTGTTCAGGAGCTTGAGTCGGGTGAAGCCCAGTTTAGGTCCTCCTGCAGAATATGTGCGCCTTTGCACAATGTCCAGTTCAGGGTTTAGGGTGCAGGGCCCACAAGGACAATAGCCAGACAAAAAACCTCAAGTTCGATAGGGTTGGGCCTTGGTCTCGGCGTCTCGCGGGCGCAAGCGGGATGCCTTCGGAGGGTCGACCGTAAACTTTCCAAACCTCAAGAATCTGTCCATTGTAGAACTCAGGGCTTAGTTGGGTGTTTTCAACAATAGGGGGCCTGCTTCACACCCCCAAAGAGAATAGAATCCCCTTTCCAAGGATCCCCACATCATCGGACCCCAGAACTGGTCCTAAACCCTCAACCCCATGTCAGATGCAGGGTCCAAGGATTGAGGGTCGAGGGCTACAGGGTGGCTGGGATAAGTTGAGGGCTCGTGGGTACCGATGACGACGGAATCTCTCAAGGCAAGGCGGCCAAGAATGAAAATGTAGGGCTCCTGGCCCCAAACCCCAGACCCCCTATGTCTACGTTGAAGTCTAATGTTGCATCACCTTGAAGGGGATAGGTACTTGGCTCCCTTATTGCGTGTAATGTCTTGCTTCTTACGTGTTGCTTGTTTATTGTTACAGCAACCCAAGATAAGCTCCGCAGCAAAAACCCACAGACAAGCATTCGCGGTGTCGTCCCGACCTCCCTGTACTCACGGATTGCAAGCCGCTGCTGACCACAAGCTGCACGCACCTCAAGCTGGGCGCTAAAGGGCTTTCTTTGATCTAGGGTTTTACGGCTTAGGTCTTTATTCTTATTACTACTATCATGATTATTCATTCTGCATGATTATTGTCTTTATTGTTATGATCAGTAATCCTATTTTACATTTGTATTGTTACGGCGTCGGGGTTTAGGTCAACGAGAGTGCAAGGAGCATGCCACGAAGCGATGCTTGGGAACATGTGCTCTATGGCTCCATCTCGTGAGGCCAAATGTAAGCCCCCTTGACCCAACGAAAGCCCCAGGGCCATCTCAAACCTCCCCAGCAACACCTGGCCCCAACAGCCCCAAAGCCTAAACCCTAAACCCTGAACCCTAAACCCACAGTGCTTCTCCCCGCCCCTCCCCCCTTGCCGGCAAGCCCCGCAGTTTAGGGTTTGAAGTTCCTGGGGCTTCGCTCAAGCTGTCCGGGCCTTGCCGGTGGAGGCTTTGCTGTCAGCTTCACCTGGCACAGCTCTCATTTCCTTGCTGTTCGATAGAAAAAATCCGGGATTTGGAAAAAACACACAAACCCCTGAACCCATAGCCAACCGATAATCTCCGAACCTCTTCATAAGTGAATCGATTGACAGCCCTTCCTGGAAGCGGAGCCCACAAGCCCTTTAGGCTTTCTTCTTTGTGGGGGATGAGGGGTGGGGTTTGGCCGGGCGAGCTTGGGAACAACGTCTGCATGTCGAAACTTCCCCAGATGATGGTCCCCAACTATGCGGCTTTGTTTTTTGCATCGGAAGCCTTTGGAAAATAAACATCAGGCAAAACCCTAAACCCTAAACCCTAAACCCTAAACGCGCAAGTTGCGGCAACCCCAAGCCCCGGAACCCAAAACCCGAAAATGTCCGTCGCCTGCCTGGCGCTCCCTGTCCTGAAGCATGCCTTGGTTCCTGGCCAGAGTCGGACGGAGGGTGTAGGGTTTAGGGTTTCGGGTTTAGGGTTTAGGGTTTAGGGTTTAGGGTTTAGGGTTTAGGGTTTAGGGCTACCCCGAACCCAAACCCGGAAAACCCCCAAACCCTCTTCGGGTTTAGTAGGCATGGGACGTGTTCACCGAGCTGGCCTTGTTCAGGAGCTCGTGCACTTTGCACTCATGCTCGGCAGCTTGCCGCTTGTGCCTGTCGAAGCAAAAATGCAAGTTAGGGTTTAGGGTTTAGGGTTTAGGGTCTAGGGTTGAGGGTTGAGGGTTTAGGGTTTAGGGTTTAGGGTTTAGGGTTTAGGGTTTAGGGTCATTGCGCAAGTCATGGTGGCGAAGGCCTGCTGCATACAGGGTGACTATTCGGTTCTGTGCAGCTGAAGTGAGATCCGTGCCGATGGTGCCTTTCAAAGCTGAGCTGGGTGGACATCCGTCGCTTCCGATCAGATTACGAAGGCTGTGATGCAAAGTATACTCCGAAGTCGTCATGTTCAATGTGAACTGAATAAACTCCTTGTGTCTCCTGCAATATGACAGGCAGTGACAAGTCCATGTTCGGCAAATAGCCTAGCTGGCTGTTTTCCTTGATAGTCGAGGTTGCAACGCCTCATGCCGTGCGGTACTTTCCGTATGTTAGGAGGCATGTTCATCGCGCCAAGTCAATATATAGAAATTGGGGTTTAAGGGCTTCAGGGCTTAGGGCCTTACGATCTAGGGATGCTTCTAAGTTTTAAGTAGTGAGGCTCAAAACGCCACACACCTTACGCGACATGTTCCATCGCTTCCTTGCAAGTGATGGTTCCTCCCCAGGGAACCCCAAGTTTGCACAACAGCCATGCTACCAATAAAAGACACATTCTCTCAAGTGCTGAGCATCATCGTCTCCCTCCATGGTTTGAAGGTGAAACAGGGAGGTTCTCACAACCGGGCCCCCAAAAATACTAGGGATTTAGGTTTCAGGGTTCGAGAGGCCCTAGGAAGGTTAGGGGCCCCTTGTCCCTGAATATGGGTCAGGGCATCAAGAATCGACTCCCGAAACTGAAGGTTCCCTTTGAGTCTCTGGCCTGGTCTCGAGACAGAAGGAACGGACTCAGAGCTTCCGAGAGGGAACCGAGATTTTTGAAAAGGCTTCGGGGATCTCCTGGAGATGGGACTCCATGTAAGATGCCCCCTGCGCACCGCGAGCTGCGTGCCTTTGGCATGCGGAACTCTGCGGGTCCGGGCGTTTTAACATTCAGGGGCCTTTTCAGGCTGCCTCAGCCTTCCAGCAAAGCAGACCTGGAGGCCAAGGTAGGACACGCCGACAATCCCCAGCCATGCCAATGCCGTCCACATCCCAGCTGCAACGAGCAGGTTCGAGGCAGCACTGACGGCCATCGCGATCACCATGAAGAAGATGCAGATCCCAAGAGACTGCCTGCAGAGGAAATGTCGTGCGCGCGGCTGGCTGCAACATTCTGGAACCCTATCATCGGCTCTTGACTCATAAAGCTGCCCGGTCGGTTGCTGCTGCCGATACGCACGCACCTTCTTCACTTCAACCCTCGAACTCTAAACCCCCAAACTCCCTTGCAAGTTGCAAGCAATTCCAGAGCGCGGAGGATCCACGAGGTTCGGCCAGCCAGTCGCAGAGGTAGATGAGGAGCACCAAGCCACCTTGCGGGTCTTCTTGAGCTTTGAGATGTGAGGTTTGGGGTTGTAGGGGTTGTAAGGGCTCTAGGGCTCTGAGGTTGTGGAGTTTTGCAGGGTCGTAAGCCTGTAGCTTTCTGAGGGTGTATGGGGTTTAGGGTTTAGGGTTTAGGGTTTAGGGTTTAGGGTTTAGGGTTTAGGCTTTAGGGCTTAGGGTCTAGAGTACGTGTAGGGTTGAAAATTCTTGGGGGGGCGTGGGTTCAGCTTACGGGCTCCTGGCAGGGGATCCTAGGGAACCTTACTTCCCAGTGCCATGTAAGGAACCCCTCATGTTTGCGCCCGAAACCCTAAACCCTAAACCCTAAACCCTAAACCCTAAACCCTAAACCCTAAACCCTAAACCTAAACCCTAAACCCTAAACCCTAAACCCTAAACCCTAAACCCTAAACCCTAAACCCAAACCACAAACCCCAAACCCTAAACCTAGGGCTTGGGGGACTTTGGGGCATTGAAGCCCTTGGACCCTGAACTGGTTTCGTGGGAGTTCGTTGAGAGCTTGTGGATGAAATATCGAACGATCAAGGCTTTGGAGCTCTACACAATGCTCGTGCGTTTTAGGGTCTGCAGACCTGCAAACCTGAGAACCTAGACTTTGGGAGTGTAGCTTTCAAGTTTAGGGGTCACATGTTCCAGCTTGTGGATGCTGGAAACATTCAGCAAAAATGCCATCTAATGGCATCCGTGAGATCTACCAGCAGCTTTGTCTGATAAAGCTTATGTCTGCCCCGAAACTGGCTGGAACCTAAACCCCGAGCCCTATTTCCTAACACTCAATCCTACGCCAGCAGGTTCGCCACCTGGCCCTCACACCCGAAATTCATGACCCTCAACCCTCGTGCGAACCATAGTTTGACGACCATCCAGCAGCTCGCCTGGCACAACGAAGCAGTTGTTTGCCACCAGCATCCCAGCAATCCATGCCACGCAGCACTCAGCAGGAGCTCCTCCCATTATCAGCGAAGCCTGGGATTCTGAGCAACAACCCAAAAAGGAAGATGTCTGTGCTTCTTCGGTGTACTTCACCTGCAAACCGATGACCAACTTTCATAAAGAAAAATGCATACTGCTGCCCGGCCTAGAAACCAACGTCTCCATGCCTGGAAAGCTTCGGGCGTCCGGATTACACAGGGACTTGGGCTCAGGGTCACACGATGCAAACACACGAGACACATGTAGACTCAAGTGACACCCCACGAGGCACCCACGCCACCTCATGCTCGCTACTCGCGACACACTTGATAGGCCGAGAAGCTCAGGCTGAATGTGGGTGTGATGAAGATGAGTATGTACGGCCAGCGCAGGTTCGTTGCAAGGATAGGCGCCACCAGCTCGTTGCGCAAAGGGCCCTGCACATGAGCTGCTGGCATTTTTCAGAGGATCCCATGGGCGGCTCCCACAAAAAGAACCCCCCAGAACAAAGGATTACTCAGAGGCTCTGAGGGGACATTAGGATCATTAGGGCTCTAGCAAAAATTGTGAAATATGGTTTTCCCCTTCTTGAAAACACTGCAACTTACAATCATGACAAGAAGAACCACAGTAACACAATCAGAAAAACAACAAGAACCCAAACCCTAAACCCTAAACACCAAACCCTAAACCCTAAGCCATCATGACAAAGAATAGGGTATAGGGTTTAGGGTTTAGGGTTGAGGGTTTAGGGTTTAGGGTTTAGGGTTGCCTCTGGAACAATACAAAATTGGTGAGAACCATAGCAGCAATGCAAAATGGTAACAGCAATGAAAAGAAGTTGTGATCATTCGAAATAACGTCATGAAAATACTCATCATGATAACATGATTCACGATATAGATACTAGTGATGCTAGTTGTAGCTGCGGCCGTCACAGTCGTATGCGAACAGTGTAGAATTTGAACAAGGGTCAAGCACACAAACTCTATGCTAGCAAAAGCCGCAATCAATGCGACCCCTTTGTTGAGGCATTGGCTGTAACTCTGGGGCGGTGGTTTTGATGGTGCACTGCTAGCAGCATCGGTGGAAGCACCATCGCCGGTGCAAAAATGGTTGACAACAAGAATACCAGTGAAAGTACTGATGGTAGTGGTTGCTACTGTGCTGAAGGAGTTGACAGCAGCAGTAATTCTGCAAACAGCGGTGCTAGCGGTACTGACAGTAGTAGTGACAGGGGCGGTAAGAGCAGTAGTAGAGCTCTGGCAGCACTGTTCCAGGGATCATGAAATTGAAGTCATCCGATATAGCTAGAAACAGCTTCAAGTGGCAGTCCGGTGGCAACTGCTGTTCGATATTGTCAAACCAGCCTGGACAAAGCGCGTGAAGGCTCGCCCACTCCCATACCACTCGGATATTGCGGAGTGTATGAATACCCCTTGGCATTGCAATGGCTGCAGAGACTTAGGCCGTGTGCTATCTTACTGGTTGCGATTAGCAGTGCTTGCAGCATGAATGACCAGCAGAAGCAGCGCATTCGAAAACAACCCCTTCGATGCTGACACCGCGACGGTCAGACTCGTTGTAGCACTGCACGAGGCTCAGGTCAAAGCTCTTCATGTCGGAAAGCAGCTTCTGCTTGGCGAGATAATTCTTTCGCAGCATGTGCACAGAAGGCAAGAAGGGAACCACCGTGATGAGATATGCGACAACAGATGCACCGTTGCGACCTGACCTGGCAATCCAGAACACAATGTTCGCCAGACAGAGAAGCGACCATATGCAGATCACGGCCATCTCGATGAAGAGCGGGGCCAGCGTTATCTTTCCTTCTGGGTTGGCCTTCCGGAATGCTGCGAGCTCAAAGATGCACCAGAGCCTCGACCTTGACAAAAACTACTAGTTCCAGGGTTTGTGCTTCAGGAAAGACATCGGTTATATGTCTACATATCTATATATATATATATATGTATATCTATATAACTATATATTTATATATCTAAAAATCTATATGGATAGTGGGTCCCTTGCAGAGCAGCCCGTGATGTCAAGTTGCGACACTTGTTTCCCCACCTCATGCAACAAGCTACAAACTTGCACATCTTGCACCACAACGTATTCTTATGTTCTCCACGAAAACCCCAAAATCCATGTATGATTGCCATGTTTTTTCTCCATGTTTCCTCAGTATGTGGCCGCCAAAGAAATTTGCAATTTAATGATTTTCCGTGTTCACAGTGTATAGAGGAACAGACTTGGGGAAATATGCAGAAAGATAGAGGAAACTGAAACACGGAGCCAGGTCGTTCTGCCGAAAAACACTCTGCCGCACCCATCGGCCCTCTATGGCCCGTCCTGCTGGACGTATTCACGTATTCTTCACGTATTCTTAAGAACTTGATTTCGAAGTTGGTGGCTTGGCTGCACTGTAATTAGTGTCACTCATTCGCTTGTTTCATTTCGATTCCTCTCTCAGCTCATGAGAAACCACTTGCAAAAGGAAGATGATCGTGGAACTCACAAGCTACTAGGAGCTACTAGGGTGCTTTATTGCCTGCCACGACAACTAAGGACTCTGCAGGTAGGGAGGGCTCCATAGCACCCTCAGCTCGCGCGTCACCGCCAAGAACCCTCCGATGCCGTGCACGCCCCGCAACCTCGAAGGCAGGCTTGCGAGCATGTCAGGAAAGAAGCTGCTCTGAAAACGTATGACTAATTATGATATCGTTCTGAAAGCGTAGAAATACTCTTGCATGGACAGGCTTTAATCTTGCACTAGAGGGAAGAGGTTGGGGCAAGCCACTTCTGAAACAAGGTGCCCACTGAAGGGCCCTAGAAGGCCTTTAGAGCAGAAAGAAGAGCCGGGCCCCTCAAACTCAAACCCCTCAACTCCAAGCTCTGAACTCCAAAGCCTGACGGGCGTAGGTCTTTCGGGCTGGCGCGTGGCGGTCCCCACACCCTAAACAGTTTCCCCTAAACCGTAAAAGACCCTAAGACCTTAAGACCCTAAGACCCTAAGACCCTAAGACCCTAAGACCCTAAGACCCTAAGACCCTAAGACCCTAAGACCCCAGGACCCTGACACCCCAAGACCCTAAGACCAACAAAGCCCCATAAGACCCTGCAAGACCCTATAAGACCCGATAAGACCCTATTATACGACCCTATAAGACCCTAAGACCCCAAAAGCTGCAGGAGACATCAGCGCAGGATCCTCTTGGTGGATGCAGGCCACGTCAACGAAGCACACCGGGGACCGGCAAGGCACGTAGAGGGAGGCGAAAGACACCTTTTTATGCTACTCTTGGTTCGTAGGGAATGAGGGAATGAGGTACCCCATATTATATAATCCCTTGAAGGGTATGTATGGGGGGATATAGGGTACCTCATTCCCTCATTCCCTCATTCCCTACTAACCAACAGTAAGTTTTTGTTTGCTGGGACTCTGCGAGGCCTCTTAGGGTTGAGGATGGAATTAGGGTTCAGGGTTCAAGGCTTAGGGTTACCGGTTTTTTCCCAGACCCCTACTGCAGTTCCTCTGAAAATGTGATCACGGACAACAGGGCTGACTAAGGGGATCATGTGCGAGTTTGGCCATGCACATCTTCATTGCAGCACTCCTCAAGTTCATCAACCCCCCAGACTGGAACCTCAAATCTGCATCTCAGAGCCGGTTGCCCCTCACGCAAAGCTTCGGAACCCTAAACTAGCAGGCGAATCGTCGACCCTTTGGGGTTGCGCAAAGGTTCTTCTTCCCAACAAGGCCCACCCCCTAGCCCGAATTTGCCCTTGAACCGCGAAACCCTCCAAACACCCCCGAAATGCCTGAACCCCCTTCCCAGCCCCCCACCCCCAACCCTGGACCCACCAACTCACTCAACCCACTCAAACCGACTAAGCCCCACCCCTGAAATCCTCAAACTCAAGCAAACCCCTCATATAATAGAACCTATATTCGTAGGTTCCTTTCTTAAGTCACATGAGGGTGTCTTGAGCCCGAAACCCTTACCCCCCCACCCCCACACCCACGCCCCCCCCCACCAAAAAAACAAAAGAAACAAATGACATCCCTGAAGCGCCTTGGACATATTCCGAAACCCCAAAGCCCCCCAAGACCCCAAGACCCCAAGACCCCAAGACCCCAAGACCCCAAGACCCCAAGACCCCAAGACCCCAACACCCCAAGACCCGAAACCCTAAACCCTAAAGCCCCCAAACCCTAAACCCTAAACCCTAAACCCTAAACCCTAAACCCTAAACCCTAAACCCTAAACCCTAAACCCTAAACCCTAAACCCCTAAACCCCTAAGCCCCAAACTCTCCTCTGAGAGGCACCAGCAGAGGGCCCAGGATGCCTGAGGCCAGGATCCAGCAGCCCATGGGGCACAGGCCCTGGAAGCCCCCCAGGTTCGCCTGGCAGTGCTTTCTTCGGAGTTAAGGGGTTGAGGGGATTTAGGGTTTAGGGTTTAGGGTTTAGGGTTTAGGGTTTCGGATTTGGAATTAGGGTTTAGAGTTTTCTCCAGGGGGCAGCGAAGGAGGTCTTACACGTTTCTAATTCCCAGGGCTGCTACTAAAGCAGGCAAGGTCGGCGAATATCAAGGCTTAGGGTTTAGGGTTTAAGGTTTAGGGTTTTAGGGTTAGGGTTTAGGGCGCCGCCAACAACACCAGTTCCGACAACAGTACAGGTCAGGTTGGCAGTATATCCGCAAAAAAACAAAACCACGACACACTTGTTGTGTCGTTTCCGTGTTGGGGTTGTCATCTAGGTTGCAGATCCTTAAAGAGCCATTCCTGCGGCACGTTGCACATCTGGTAGTACCAGGCCACTGAGGGGGGGGGGTCCATGGGGACTCTCAATGCCGCCTGGTAGACAAAAGGGAGGGGCAGCACGCCGCCGACACTCAGTGCGAAGGTCGTGGCCACGCAGAGAACCCAGGAGACAAGGATGAGGTGCCAGGTGCTTTGAAGGAACAGGGCCGCTGCCTGGCTTGGGGGGGTTGGGGGTTTAGGGTTTTTGGGGGGTTGGGGGGGGTTGGGGAGTTAGGGTGGGGGTCTTAGGGTTTCTGGACATAAGGTTGGGGTTTCGGGATTGGGGTTTTGGGTTGGGGTGGGTTTGGGTGGGTTTGGGTGTTTGGGGTTTGGATTGCACAGCCGCTGCCTTGCGCCAACCGGGTGTCCACCACGTGTGCGAGATGAACATGTCCAACTGCCTGGTGATATTCTAGTGATTCTGATGGCTCAGGAATTACTTCGGAATCACGCTAAAGCTGCAAGGCAGATGCGAAAAAAATACCACAATGTGGGAACACCCCGCTGCTTGATAGGCTTGGACTTCGCGTAGAGGGCCATTCGCTGCTGCGACGTGAACGTCTCCGGGGAGTAGCGCCACACTTGGCCAGCCCCAAGCAGCGTGCTGGTGAGGGAGATGCCGCGCAACATCTCCAAGTCCGGGTCCAGGACCTGCAAAGGGTTTAGGGTTTAGGGTTGAGGGTTTAGGGCTTAGGGTTTAGGGCTTAGGGATTAGGGCAGATGATGCGTTCGTCATAAACGCATGTAACCTTCTCCGACAGATGGCACGAAAAGCGAACGCTCCCCTGCGTTCATCCCAAAGCAGCCCGAATCCCTGAACCTTTCAATGCCCCCCTGCTCCGGGAACCTTGGACCGGACGGCCCCGGAGGAGATTCCCGAGAGGCTGAGCGCTATGGCCTCTGAGGAATTTTGGCCGAAGGCTTCGGACAGGCAGGCGCCCATCGTCACCCCTTCTATGTCGAGGTCCTGCATGGTGGTCAGGGTTTCGGTTGGGGCACTCGGCTAGCTTCAGGTCCTTCACGGGATTCATACTGTAACGGCACTGTTCTCAACTAGGGACTGTACGATTAAACTCCAATGTCGCCGCAGACCCTTTTACAAAAAATGACAGTAAACCCGTAAGACCAAACCCGCAAATCCTGAAGCCCGAACCCTGAGAACCTTCAACCCCCAACCCGAAACCCCGGAAACAATCCTCCCGCCCGGCCACACTGGCACAGTCGGACCCATGCTCGGCCGTAAAGTCGAAGTGTGCTGGGGCCGGGAACCTTTGCTCGCAACCTGTGCAGGCTCAGGGATACTATACATAGCTTGCTTCATGCAACATCATGGCATATTTCTGAAACTGTAACGTAGCACACCACAGACGGGGCTCTTTTAACTCGGGGTTCAGAAGTTTAACATTCACATTTAGCTTTTTGGCTATTGGGAATTTGCTCTAATTGGGGGCCCCTACAAGAAGGATGAGAACATGTTTGGGCACATAGGCGGGAAAGGACTAGAATATTTTTGGGGTACAAAGGGGGGAAAGTTTACCCCTGTTTGTGGGGAGACTAGTATGCTCATTACAAGCCGACTCCTCAGCCCAACCTAAGTCCTCCCAAGCATTCCAAAACTTAACCATGCTGAAGTCAAATAATCTCATGCAGACTATACCACAACGTCGTTCATGCACAGCATGCATGAAAATCTCTAGATATACGTACACATTTACACACATTTGTTAGCTGCAAACCCTAGACCCGAAACCCTAGCCCTAAACCCAACAACCCCACAGAGCCACCCTGCCTTCGTCCCCTCGCTGGGCCGCCTCCTGGTGGCAGCAGCTGGGTCTGCAGCCGCTCGACGCTTGCCCCATGCTTTGGCACTGAGCGAAAAGTACATGGTATGCAACTACCATGGAGTTGCGTTTAGGGCTTGGGGTTGGGGGTTTAGGCTTACGGTTTAAAGTTGAGGGTGCAACCTACAGGGTAGCAACATATACTGCATATGCACTTGCGGAGCCAAGCTTGAAGTTTTGGACCCCCTTGGCGAGCCATACCTGGGTACTGTGACATCAGGCAAGAAGCAAGTACTCATGACACTCATGACTTCCTCAAAGGAACCATGGCAAGAGACAGCGCACTTGCTGTAATAGAGACTTTTTCGGGCATGTGGTGCATCTACATTTCATCAGGCCCCCCCGAAACGGAAACAGTTCTGCACAGATCCTTGGAGGCCCCGGTCAAGCGACCAAGCCATCGTTTCAAGAAGCCAAAATCGAACTGCAGACCTAGCAATGGGAGAATGTATGATTCGCTGATTTCACACAAAGCATTGGTATTGCAAATGCTGTTGTCCACAACCAATCTATCGGGTCGACCATCAGAAGAGACGATGCTCAGTTTCCCCACTGCTAAACGATCCGGCCAACGTTGTCGTGCCTCTTCAAGAGATATAGAGACCAAGTAACCAGCCTCCACTCCCTTAGCGACCAGCTGTTTAAGCAATTCGGGGTTAGCTTCGGCAGAAGACCAATTACTCTCGCAGAGAAAAAGTTCGGCGTCAATCGTGGAATTCGATTCCCGTGACGCAAAAACGTTGTTTGCAGGGATGTTCTTGTCGAAGGCCAGTGGGGACTCCTTCGATTAAGCAAGGAAAAAGCGAAGTGTCTCTGTCCTGAATCAATGAACTCAATGTTTGCAGAGCATGTAAGCAATATGGCTGCCCGTCGTCCTGTTCAAACACCCCCTTTCCGACGGGCCCACAGTTGGAATCTGCAACGAAGCTCGGCAATCTCCTCAAGGTACCCGGAGGGGGACAACTCCAATCAGGGCAGGACCCAATGCCCCCCTTTTTTTGTTAAAGCGGACGCCCCTTTACCACATCAGCGGCCCAGTGGGCAGGTCTTGGCAACGGAAGGACATCTACTTTGAGAGCCAAACTGTACAAGCCAGCGAGTGTAAAAGAAGTCATGACTACAAAGAAGCAACCGCTAGCGCAGAGGCCCTTATTGCAAGACAACTTAACGCAAGGCCAGCGAGGTGAAACCAATGCAAACAAGAACCTACCGGCACCAATCACTCAGCTGCCCGTCACCCATAGCAACGCTGCGGTACAGACATTAAGCGAAAGTATGGGTAGGCCGTAAGGCAAGGAACCTCCGTCACCTAAACTGCTCAACGCGTCCGTAGAGACAGTCCCCACACAAGCGCCAGGGCCGTAGCAAAAGCATAGCACTCAGGACTCCTTTTTGGGCTGACAAGAAAGTTGCAAGCGCACTGAAAGAAAGGTACGAACGCGCACAAAGGCACAATGCACACAGAGTGCCAGAAAAGGCGCCCCCCCCCCCTGCGAGCGGGGGCAGGCAAGGGGCTGGTGTGGCTACACAATGCTGCCATCGGCGCTATGTGAGTCCGGGCGTCCTCACATAGCTATTAGGGGAGTACCCTATTTGGAGGCTCCTTGTGTTTGCGCCGAAAGTTTTGAGGCTCGACCCCATGGCCATAGGGTGGGCGTGGAGCGCTGCTTGCAAGAGGCCATATTTTTACAGCCCCGCGCAGCGGCCGATTTTTGAGACGGCAAAAGAGCCCCAAAGGCTGCTGGCTGGCACTTGGCTCATGTGCTTCCCAGGTACCGGGAGCCTATCGGCTTGACACGCTTAGCTTGGTGACGTAGCGCCTGGAAGCCTCGCAAGGCTGATACACTGCTGGGCCTCCCGGCAAAGTTTTAGGCAGCAGTTCGAGAGACCTGATCGCTTCTGGGCCTTCCAGACAAGGTTTCAGCAGTTTGCGCAACCGCCCCCTTGCCAGACAACCCAAACCTGCCGGATTGGCGCGAGTTTTTTGATGAGGCAGGACTCACACGATAGAATGATTACACAGGTTCGCTCACGGTCTCCCCCTGCAGTGCAAGTATCAGGCCGCACGCAGCACGGAGCTTTTAAGGCCCCCAAGGCTGCTTAACGGTCTGCAGCCAACCGCGCGTCAAGTGTGAGAGTCAAGGGGCCTTATAAGTCAGAGCCCCGCGCAGCGGCCGATTTTTGCGGAGAGCACTTTAAGCAGGTTTACCCCGTGACTACACCTGATGCGGGACCCACAGCAAAGTGCGAGGCCGAATCACTTCTGGGCCTGCTGGAGAAGGTTGAAGCAGCAGTTCCCACATACCTTCTGGGCCTTCTGGCGAAGGTTCCGGCAGCCGTTTGCGGGGCCTAATCACTTCTAGGCCTTCTGGAGAAGTTTTAGGCAGCAGTTTGAGAGGTCTACTCACTGCTGGGCCTTCCGGAGAAGTTACAGGCAGCAGTTCGAGAGGCCTACTCACTTCTGAGCCTTCCAGGGAGGGTTGAGGCAGCAGTTTGAGAAGCCTAATCACTTCTGGGCCTTCAGGCAACTGTTTGGGCAGCAGTTTGAGAGGCCTAATCATTTTTGGGCCTTCTGAAGATGTTTGAGACATGAGTTTGAAAGTCCACCCACTGCTGGGCCTTTACGAAAATTTTTAGGCCAAAGAACAGGCGGCGTTCAACAGCGTAGCTGCGCTTTTTACAGCTACTGCATGCACGGTAAAATGACTACACAGGTTCACGGTCTCCCCTTGTAGTGCAAGTATCAGGCCGCGCGCGCGGAGCTCGGAGCAGTTTAAGGCCCCCAAGGCTGCTTAACGGTCGCAGCCAAATTCTACACTTTATTTGGTATGTTTATTAATATAGATTTAAATACTTCATAAATAACATCTTTACATAAATCTATTTTTATCATATATAATATATAAAATAATATTTCAGTTAAGTATAAATTATATTCATTATATAAAAACCATCTCGGGAAAAATCACTTCCTATCACTGCGTATAGTCAAGAGCTCCAGGTACCCGTACTGAATGAGGGCTCCATACGCAACGAAAGGGCGTACGTGCAGTCCTGTGTCTTTCACATTGGCTCGACCCACAGCGCCATTACCGCACTATCTCGAGGTCAACACCGACGTACGAGTGGCAGTTGACCGATGACTACCGGCGATTACTGAAGGCAACGGACTCCAAAGACAAGTCCGTCATGGTTCATACATCTTCTTTTTAACATTCCCTGAAGCATCAAGTGACGATGCAGTGATCCTTGTGAGCATCACTAGTCCCAACTGGCCAGCACTGTGACCAGAATTGCAGCACAGCTGCTGCCCCCCCCCCACTGTCAGCGCTCGACAACCTCTCACCGCAAATTGCTAAATCAAAGACAGCAGGCCGTCGTAACATGAACTACATCTTAGAGGGCACAGTCTGCGCTACAGTACGAGTGTCACACCTTTAGACCAGCCAGCTTTGCGGAACAAACAGTCGTGCTTTCATCAGGCTTGCCAGCACTTCTGCAAGCTGCCTTACCCTGCACAGAAGCATTATGTTGTGGCACATTTTCATTTTGTTCTGTTGAAGGCCTGCAGTTGCTCCAACAACCTTTTGCGTGTTCGGCACTTCCGAGGGCAGGCTTTCCACAAGGCTTGGGAAAGGGCATCATGCTAGCCTTAAGGCCGGGTTGGGTGCGTCTTCTTTAAAACCTCAAAAGCTGCTCAACTTCTTTTCTGGTCTGGAGACCGGTACAGCAGCTTCAGATATGGCTTCTGAGGGGGTATCTACAGAAGTCTCTGGCCCATAGGCCGGGCTGCTGGACCCTTCTGCTTCTTGGACCGACATGCTGAAGCTGCGGAAAATCAAAACACTACAAACAGACTGGTCCACGTTCCTAAGGCGTGGCTCTGAAAAATCAGTGTAGTGCACAGTTACGACTGCTACACTCAACTCTGGCCCGCAGAACAGACAAGCTCTCAACGTGGAAAAAGAGCAATTATACTAAGAAGTACAACCTCTTGTAAAAGTAATTAACAAGAGAAAACTTGCACAGGGGACACACGAAGCAGAATCACGCGCACACTGCTTCTACTATCCAATACACTTCCAGCAAGCTCTTTCCGCAACTGCACTTTAAACACAACTACGGAGTTCTTGTCTTTGTTGGTGTTTTCTGTGTAGAATTCACGTTCAAGGTCTGGGAAGTTGACCAACGTGGCTTTCGGGTGGGTTTGGGGTGCTTGGGCGGGTTTGGCCATGCTATAAGGGGCTGGGTTTTGTTTGGCCTCTTTTGAAAGGGTTGGAAGTCCTAGGTTTTCCGGAATAACAAAACAATGTTTTTTAATTTGGAAACACAGCCCAAGCCAACTCAAGCACTTTAAAAGGCTTTCTACTTGAAGCTTCTGCCCACTTTTGGCGGCGTCACCAATCAGATTGGAGGAGTACCTACTGTTGCTCTGGCAAAGTCGGCGCGTGACAAGCCTTGGCGGTGTAAAGCCCAAGAAGTTTTAAGAGTGTTTGCGGCGCAAGCTGGACCAGCTTCTGACCAAAACCAATTGGCTCTATGTTTATTGCAAACATTTGGATCTTTGCTACCATCAACAACCCGCAAGCTTGCCTTAGCATCAGCTTGAACCTCTTCCACAAGATGTTTGGAAAGGTTCCGCTTAACTTCCACCGGCCTGATTTTGTGGCACGCAGCGTCTTGAAAACTGTGAAAAGCAAAGCTCGCGCAGCTGTCTCTTTTTGACTTCGCACTTGAGCCAAACACCAAAGTGTTCAGCAAGCTTCAGTTCTTGCAGCAAGCTCTCTCCAAGAGCTAAGGGCTCCAAAAAGCTACGAATTCCATCTCAACTTTGTTCTACAAAGGAGGTAAAGCAAAAGAGCAATGCAACTGCTTTGGTCTACACCTCGGGGACTTCAGGTCACTTCCGAACAGCAAAACAGCGAAGCTTCAGAGTCCACTCTGCACTCCTACTCCCATCCTACACGTCCAACGGCAACGAACGAAGTGGCGGGGACACGGAGTGAGTTGCAACAAGA